ATGACGAGTCTGAGAGAGATGTGAATCGGTCGGTCCTGCAATCGGGACCGCCTGATATCAATCTCCCGTTATCAGTAGAACTCAGCGTGCTCCCGCAATTGTGGAATGATAATTGTGAGATTTTAGATGTTGGTCTAGGTCCTCAGATTGTTACTGAGGGGGTGGCAATTGTGAATGTTCCTAAAGTGGGTAGGAAATGTGCTAAACGCGTTGATAGTATATGGGGTGCTTGGTTTTTCTTCAATTACTATTTCAAACCCGTGTTGAAGGATAATTCTAAGTGTAAGGTTACGAGAGATAGCAATGGTTGGGGTGGTTTCGATAAGTCTGACTTGAAACTTGATGCTTTCTTAGTACAGCATGATATGGAGAATATTTACATGTGGGTATTTAAAGGGAGGCCTGAGAATGCGTTAGGGAAGATGCAGTTGAGAAGTTTCATGAACGGACACTCTAGGCAAGGGGAGCGCCCGTTTCCTTTTAGTGTTGATAGAGGATTTGTGAGGTCTCACAAAATGCAGAGGAAACATTATAGGGGCCTGTCAAACCCGCAGTGTGTTCATGGGATTGAACTGATTGGGTCACCAGATTTTACGGGTTTAGATGAATGTGAAAGGAAGAGGTGGCTGGAGCTTACAGGGCGGGATACGAACTTCTCAATACCTGAGGAAGCAAGTGATTTTGGTTCTTGGAGGAATCTCCCACCAATGGAATTCGAGCTAGAGCGCCCTGCTCTATCTACAAAGGGTGCTCAAAGAAAGGTGATTCCTGATACAGGGCTGAATTTCTCAACTCAGACATCTAAGCATGGTCTCAGCAATGGGGTGGATCTTTCTCATGTTGCTAAGAAACAAAAGAAAGACTTTTACTCTAATGGCAGCATTGACAACGGCTTTCTCCGAATCAACTCACAGTCTGATAGTGTGTTGGATGTAGAATCTCATTTGGCTGAACCTGTATGGTCTAATGAATTTAGCGGGGTGATGAAGAATGTCTATGGTCCTGTCACAGCTGCTAAAAGTATATACGAAGATGAAAAGGGGTTCTTGATTATTGTTAGCTTGCCCTTTGCTGATCCTCAAAGGGTGAGAGTTACATGGAAGAATACCCCTACGCATGGAATTGTGAAGGTAGCTTGTGTTAGCACAGCTTGCTCACCCTTGATTAAGAGACATGGCAGGACATTCAAACTGTCTGACCCGATGCCAGAGCACTGCCCTCCTGGAGAGTTCGTTCGGCAGATTCCCTTGCCTTCACGGATTCCAGAAGATGCAAAGCTTGAGGCTTATTGTGATGAAACAGGAACGGCCCTTGAGATAATGGTCCCTAAACAACTTGCTGTACTTGAAGAGCATGAAGTCCATGTTTGCCTTCGACCCTCTCCTTGGGTTTGAATTAGTTTTATTATTATTAAGTCTTAATGTAAGAACAATTTAAGATGTTTACTATGGTAACTATCCCAGCATCGATAACTAACTGTACCACATATAAAGGACACGCGTTGAAGTTTACTTGGTGTTGTTTTGATAATTTTTTCTGTTTTTCATACCATTATTTTTTGTGCATAAGTTCTCGACCCTTGAGTCCAATTCTTATCAGAAATGGACTCTGCTTATCTATTTTTCAGGTAGCATTATCTAATGCAATGGCTTAGTACCGAAGCTCTTACTGACTTTATGGTAGGCCGTTAATCGACGCCTCTTTAGTCTCTACCAATGGTAGGATCCACCAAGGATATTGTTGTTTGTGAATTTGTGATATTTTTCAACCTTGTTGAACATGAGGATCAATTGGTAGGGCTAATTGTAGCAATATCCCTGTTCTCTTTTACCAATTCTAGAGGGAACTATGACGATACTTTTTTGAATCCTTTAAGGGGTGGCGTAAATGGCTGTTGTTCTTGTATGTTGACGTCCCTTAGATTTATGGAACATGCTACCCTAGCAAGCTTGCGCCCCACCCCTCTACTTTTCTTTCCACTTGCTTTTGTCCTTTCATTATGTATTGTAGCTTTACAAGAGCCAAATAAAGGATTTATGGTGTTGTGTACGACTTAGCAAAACTAAAATTGTCTTTCTTTACAGTACCCTGTTACCCCTCTTACGGGAAGCATTAGAATATGGTACTCTCTCGAGAGAGAATTTAGTTTGCCGTATATAATTAACGCTTGTACTATCTCACATACCGTACGTTGCCATTAAAGGCGCAATTTAACAGATGCATGGATGTGGTTTTGCGCCTCTTTGTTATTGAACTATTGTCTCGCTATACCACCAGTGAGGGGAGTGAATCTGGGTTCCAATTTCCTGGAAGAGCAAGCAACATATATGGCTGACAGACAAGTATGTATGGCACACTGCGAGCTGCTGACCCTCAGTACGATAGGTAGCACAATCTCATGCAGCATCCGAAGAGTGTGAATCCTGGAGGAACCATGTTTTATCAGTATATCACGCGATATATTAGTTTTTTCAAACTCCTTTACCATGATAAGTTGATAACCACTAAAACTAAGGCTTCTTGGTTATCAAAACCAAGGAATCAACTTCCCAAATCAAGAAGCAATGGACATAATTGATGGAATCCAAATCCGATTGTTGTTATCTGGAAGCACATTTGAGTGCCTAAAAAACAAACATTCGTTCCAACAAATCAAGTCAATAATAGAGGCTTCAAAATTTCATCAAATACTTTTCAGAAATATGCCAAAGCTGTTAAAAGCAAATGCACTGATAAGTGAGTTTCCTTCGCCCAATTTCACTTATCTATATTTATTAGAACTTATTAAAGTTGTGAATGTATTTTTTTTTTTAATAAGTGAGTTTCCTTCGCCCAGCTTCTAATGTATTATTGATAACCTCTTAATTGACTTGATTATCCAAAAAAAAAAAAAAAAAAAAAAAAACCTCATTGATTTGACTTTATTACTATAAGTAATTTGAACATATTACAAGTTTGGTCATAAATATATTATAAGTTTTACAGTTCCATTTTTTTTTAAATGGTAAACTATATGTAGGATGGGCCTCCCACCCTATCATAGAAATGAGAGGCTGTGAAAAATCGAACCTTGGAGGAGATGAGGGGATTCCTCAAGTTTTGTAGTTCCATATTTATAATCTTGTTGGGGTGAAAAAAATTGGTAAAAGTAAAAGGGTTTGTTTCTGGGACTTGTTATTCATCGCCCGCAAATCTCTACATAAAGCCCACATTTTATAATTTTTTGACAAATTTGCCCTTTTTATAATTTTAACGGAAGATAAATTTTTCGCACTAAAAAAATGTGGAGCAGCACCGGATCGCCGAGGATCACCGGAGAATCGCCGTCGTCATCGGAAAACGAGGTTCGTAACGCATCGTAAGGACGAAATGGTGGCTGGCGCCTAGCCAAAAGGCCATGCCGTGGTTGTGGCGCCTAGCCAGGACGCCGCCACCGTGGTCACGGCGTCTGGTGGAGAAGCCTCGACCATAGTAGTGGCGCGTGGCCAGGACGCCGCAGCCACGGCCAAGGCGCCTGGCCACCACGCCGCCACCATGGCGGCGGCGTCCTGACCAGGCGCCCCGGCCGTGGCTCCGGCGTCCTGGCCAGGCGTCAGTAGGGGAATATTTTTTTTTTTTTTTTTTTTTTTTTTATTTTATTTTATTTTTTAATTTAATCCCCTTTTTTTTTTTTTTTTTTTTTTTGTTAATTTAATCTTAATGTAATTATATTTATACGTTATATGTTATTGTTATAGGATTATGGTGGAGACGGAAATGATTACAGTGGGATTTTTGTACATGATGGCCTGTTCGAAGATGCTCAACAAGCGATTGATTGGGCAAAACAGGTTGCAATTAGATCAGGCTTTTGTTTAGTAGTAGCAACTCATAAATCTCAACGGGATGGTAGAATGGATCGCATTTTGAGATGCGACCGTTATCGCAAAAGAGAAGAACGAGATTTCAGTAAAGCGATTCGGTTTGACTCAAAGCGGAAAGGTTGTGGGTGTCAGTTCCGAGTTAAGGTTCGACAACATCAAAGGCGTGACGGTTGGGAAGTGAAGGGTTACGGCAAATGGGGATATCACAACCATGAGCTGATAGCATACAAAGTGGGGCATCGGCAGTTAAGCGGCCTAAGTCCAGCTGCGAAACTAGTTGTAAAAGAAATGAGTGATGCTCAAGTGAAGCCCGCTAAAATATTAGCGTCTGTGTTAGAGAAATTCCCCGAAGACCAGCCAAACCGAAGACACATCTACAACGTCAGACAGAAATTGAGGTTTGAACGGTCAGAGGGAAGGAACCCTATTCAGCAGCTTCTGCACCAGGCACAAGCACGTGGTTACCTTTACTGGTTTGAATCTGACGAAGACACATCGGAGGTAACTCATTTGTTCCTTGTCCATCCTGATTGTGCTGATATGATTTCGTCTTGGCCATCTGTGATTTTGATCGATTCAACGTACAAGACAAACAAGTACAAGTTCCCACTGGTTGAGATGGTTGGCATGGCTCCAACGAACCAGAACTTTCTGATTGGTTATGCAGTCATGAAGGATGAGACGGCTGCGAGTTACCGTTGGGTGTTGGAAAAGTTGAGAAACTACATCGGCCCAAATGTACAGCCATCGGCCATCGTAAGTGATTGTGAGGGAGGTCTTTTTGCCCCTATAGCGGAGCTGTTTCCGGAGTCGAGCCATTTACTGTGCACATGGCACATCAACAACTGCGTGAAAGTCAAAGCCTACAACCTTTTCAACAAGAACTTAGATTCAGCAGAGAGATTGGTAAATGGTAAGTGGCGGAAGATCCTGCAAGCTACCACGGAGGCAGAGTACGATCGAGCCTTGGAAAACTTAAAGGATGCGTACAAGTGGTGCCCGCCAATCGTAGACTATGTGATGCATCAGTGGGTACCTCAGAGGGAAAAGTTTGTCAAATATTGGACGAACCAAGTTCTTCATTTTGGGAACACTACGACATGCAGAGTCGAGAGCGCTCATAGAGCTTTGAAGGACTGGATTGATTCTTCCACGGCTGCTCTGGATACACTGTTCGAGAGAATAAACAAGGCTATTGATACTCAGAGGAACGGCATCAAGAACTATCTCGAGGACTCCAGACGACGACATGGCATGTTGTATGGCCATTTCATATTTAAGATTCTCCACGGTCGTGTGTCACACCACTGTTTGGGGTTGATTCTGAGCGAGTATACCAGGATGAGGGAGTTGGGCGATGAAGTGGCTATTCGGTGCGGATGTGCTATATCAATGACTCATGGATTACCTTGTGCATGCACCATTCACCGCGTAATTACGCAAGACAGGGCGTCGTTACATGTCGATCAGGTTCATCCATTCTGGCGGACGCTCGTTATCGGAGAGCATGCTGTTCCGCATACGGTTCACCGTGAACAGGAGGAGTTGGAGCAGTTTCAGATGATGTTTGACCAAGTGTCCTCCAGTCACCCTTCGATCATTCGTAGTGCTACACACATACTTCATGACATGTTCAATACATCGTGTTTGGATACCGAGGAACCGGAAGGGGTCGAGCGACCTAGGGGTCGACAACCACGGCGGAACAAGAGTGCGTTTGAGTACATTCGCGGTCGTGGCCGTGGCCGTGGCCGTGGTCGTACATCCTCATCAAGTGGCAGCCAATCATCGTCGTCGGTGAATATGCCCGGCACCGGTAAGACATTCGACTTCAATTTCTTTTGTTGACTGTTTGATTAGTTTACTGTTGACTTGTTTATTGTGTTTATTGATGTGTGTAACAGGGAGAATGGACATTGAACATTTTCCATATAAGGACAGGATCCCTAATATCATGATGCCATTCTTGGACGGGTGGAATGATGTCATTGCAGATGGTAACTGCGGATTTCGGGTTGTGGCGGATGTGTTTCAAATGGGTGAAGACAACTACGGTTTAGTGCGGCAGTTGATGTACAGTGAAATCGCATCAAACCGAGATGTGTATGGCCATGTGTACGGCGAGGACTTGGATAGGTCTCTGCAGCGTATCCGGTGGGGAGGGGGACCTTGCGGTCAAAATCATTGGTTCGATGCGCCACTTGATCTCTTTGCCGTTGCAAACATCTACAAGTGTGCAGTCATGCATTTCGGCCTTGGTTTACATAGTCGAGCCTATTATCCATGTACAACGGTTCTGCCCTGGTGTTCGCGCGAGACCGTCACCAGACCGGTAAGGGACGTTGCTATTGGATTTCTTGGGCCGTCATACAGACATTTTATCCGATTAGACATGTCACCCGATTTTCCGGTCCCAAATATCATACCGAAGTGGTATGAAATTCGTAGAGCAAGCGTGGAGGGTTGGGATGCTTTGTACCATGCTCGCGTGCAACAGTGGAACAATTTAATTACCATGTAGTTTTTGTTGATGTACACCTACCTTTTACTATGAGGCCTTGTATTGTCAATACTATGTCATTTCTATGTGTTCATTTTTAAAAGATAATGTTTCATTTTAAAAACTAACAACAATAATTTCAAATATTACAAACTAAAATGATAATATTGAATTTTAAAAACTAAGAACAATAATTTCAAATATTACAAACTAAAAAGATAATGTCTAATTTCAAATATCAGTAATCCCTCTGTGACGCCCACTGCCACTGCTCAAGGGTCCGTTCCAGATCGTCAATAACAGCTCTGCCTGATGCACTCGTCATGCAGTCCCTTTCCTCAAAAAGTCGGTGTCCCAACTGCATAATCTTGCCCATCCACTACACAAAACAAAAAACATGAAACGACGTATTATACATATATATATTAAAATAAGAGAACAACAAATAAAAGATGAGACGTACCGCATAAGAGGCAGTGGCAGGTGGCACATCGTCATCATCTGCGTCGTCGATGTCTTTGATCAACCTCGGGTGCGAGTGCCGGATGTACCATTCCATGTAGTGCTGGTCACACATGGCAGTCACCCCACTTGGCGGCCGCTGCAGCTCCGCCGTCCATAGGCGGGCAACCATCGGAAACTGCTCCCACATGGATATCATGTTTGACGGCCATTGGACGACGTACTCCTTCGACGACGCAGATCGTACCGCCTTACTGGGCCATGCCGGTGGAGGTGGGACAACTTGGACAAATCCAAGCTGGCGAAGACAGCGCTGCGGCATGTACGCCTCTACGATCTCGCGATACTGAATCAGTCCAGTGTAGAGGGTCCTGGGTACCCTATTACTAGGGTTCTGGCCGAAAGGCATCCAGTTCACCTGCACATTATTTAAAATCAGTAACAGTCATAAAATAAAGCATCAGATTGTAAAAGTAGAAATAATTTAATCACTGTACCTCTAAGGGGGACATCCTGTCAAGCGATAACCGTATGGAGCGCAGGCGGTCAACGGACTTCTTCTCGACACGCGGACTCCACGCACAGGCACGTGGCTGGCCATCACCAATGGGAACCGGGTCGCGGTGTGGTCGAAACGCAGGAAAATACTCGTATATCCAGGTCTGTAACAACGTCAGACATCCAGTGATACCTGCTGCATCAGCCCGGCTCGAGAATCCTAACTGGCGATACAGATACGCCAGCGTAGCCGACCCCCAAGAAAACTGGCCTACTCTGTCGGGCTCACACGCGTCAACTATGTCGCGTGGCCTGAGCTTGTTCCCGCTCTTATCCGGAAACAAGGTACACCCGAGAAGAAGAAAAACATATGCAGCCAGCTGTGTGTCCTGCGTCCTACGTGCCGTAGGGTGCAAACATCGCTGCAAGACGGCTGCGATCTTAACGCCGCCGTGATCCCACACACCAAGTGCCGATGTGTACAGCGCAGCCCTATCCACCGCCAACAGCTCCGCTAGTAAATCTGCCTGATCCGCATCAGTGACGACAGATGCTCGGTTTCCCTCCACGGGAATCCCAAGGATGGCCTCGACGTCATGCAACATGATCGTCATCTCACCGAACGGAAGGTGGAACGAGTTCGTATCCGGCTGCCATCGCTCAACGAAAGCCGTGATCAGCGTCCAGTCAATCCTATCGTGCATGGTGGCAGGAAGGTGACTCACTCTAGTGGCCCTCAATCGCCCGACCATCTCGCTCTCCTCCGGCCAAGCATCAGCCCAGCTACACAAAAACCTACAAAACTTTTCCCGGGTTTGGCATTTCAAAATGCCTGTATCCAAAGCCCTCTCCTGGTCCTCCCAAATACGGGTAGCGATGTGTCCTAAAAAGCTAGGAATCACACTCCCGTCTATAGGTCCCCCGGCCACCTCACCCCTCACCATCCAAGAATCATTAACGGCCCTCGACCGTTTTCTGCTACCCGCAGACACAGTGGACGCAGATGATGTGCCAGATCTACTAACAAACCTACCATCTCGACCCTTACGCACATCTACCCTATGCGTCTCATACGTATCATCAAGTCTCTGACTGAATGGACCGTAATCATCATATGGTCCACTCTGATCGTCGACATCCTCATCTGCATCATCCTCGTCCTCGACCTCCTCCTCCTCGACCTCCTCCTCCTCCTCCTCATCATCATCATCTTGATCGTCCGCAGAACAGTGCACCCGTTCTCTGCGGGCCGAGGCCGAAATACCACGGGATCTAACGTGTCTGGGCCCCGAGCTCTCCATTGAGTAGATCGTACTCCTCACGACGTCAATACTCTTCCCCGCACCAGGTCTAAATTGCGATGCCTAACTCCAAGGAAATAACGAAACATAATAACGAAAACAAATTAAAAAAAGTCGAAAATAAACACAAAAGCAAATAAACAAGTCACGGAAATAAAATTATAAACATAAAAAATATAAAATTAAAACAAATAAAAAAACAAAATTTAAAAAAAAAAAGATAAAAAAAAAAAGGGAACATACAATTTAAAAAAAAGAAAAACAAATTTTTTTAAAAAAAAAAAAAAAAAATCGAAAATAAAATTTAAAATTTAAAATAAAATTTAAAATTAAAAAAAAACAAAAAAAAAATTTAAAAAAAAAAAAAAAGAACGAGGCGCCTAGGCAAGGCGCCTGTACGGTGGTGTCGGCGCCTAGCCCAGACGCCACTACCACGGCCGTGGCGCCTAGCCTCTGCGCCGCCGCCGTGGTAGTGGCGTCTGGGCTAGGCGCCGCCACCACCGTACGGGCGCCTTGCCTAGGCGCCTCCGCCGTGGTGGTGGCGTCTCGCCTTGGCGCCCCACCGTCGCCGGAGGTTTTTTTTTTAAAAAAAAATTACAAAAATTAAAAAATTTACCTTCTGGCCGGCAAACCGCCTTCCGCCCACCGCCGGTGCCGCCACTTCCTTGCCGGGCCGCCTCGACATAGCTCTGGAAATAATTTAGAGAGAGAAAGTGGAAGTAGAGAGTAGAGAGAGAAATTGTGTGTTTTTTAGTATGAGGGCAAAAGTGTCATTTCACTCTTATTTTGTGGGCTTTATGTAGGAATTTGCGGGCGATGTTTAACAGTTCACTTGTTTCTGGCACCATTGGAGACTTGATCGATTGGAATTTCAACTAATAGAATTTATTGGTTATGAACTTTTCATAAGTTTGCAGTTCCTCTAATAACTCTAATCAAGGTCTTTAATTAATTAATTAACTAGTGAGTAGTCCGGGTGTTGTCCCGGGTTACTACTTTTATAGTTGTGCAACTGCTAATTTATAAGACCATCTAATAGTTTGTATGTAGTATGTGTCTTCAATACTTTGTAGTATAATATTATTTATTGTGCAATGTTAAAGCATAATTAACAATTAGCCTAGATGGTTATACAATAACTTTTCTTCTAAGAGGTCAAGTGTTCGAACTTTCTCATCCATATATGACGTGGCATATTGAGGAGTTGAGTAAGTGACGTGGCAAAATGAGAAAGTCTACGTGACGCATATACGTTCTTAGAAACGTCTTTTAATATATTAGTATAGATTACTTTGTTTGTTTGGTTACATATTTTGTTGAATTTAATTAAGTTATATCATAGCAATGTAGCAAGTGTTCATATGATTGAATTTGTTTGACTTTAGTTTAACGTGTTTAACCTCTCCTTGAAGAAGAAGGTTGTACATTAATATTAGAGACTAGAGAGCAGGTGACTACTTTTTATTTTATTTTTGGTAAGGATGCTTAGGAATTGAGAATTTGGCTTTTGGGTTAATCTCAATAAAAGTGAATCTGAAATGATATTTAAATAAGTCCAATCTAATGGGTTAATCTCCTATTGCATTAATTCAATTATCTAACAGCTGAAAAATTACATCCCAAAATCAGCTGATTTTATAGTATAGTTCAGTTTTTTTTTTTTTGTTAGATTTGCCAACTCAATTTAACATTTAAGCATGTGATCCTTTGAGTCCACTAGAGCTAGAGGCCTTATCTAAGAACTTTACCTTTTTCAACCAAATTATTTGATAAATAAAGGCATCTCTCCACTCTTGTGGGGGAACTAATAACATAAAGGTTTTTTTTTTTTTTTTTTTTTTTTGCAAGCCAAAATTGGGTACCAACTATTGTTTGGATCTTATCAGTATAACTTTTAAGCGGAGCAATGTACAACACTACATGAAAAGGGTGGGTGTAAATTTGACAATTGACCGGAAATTCCATCAAAGTTATGAGATTATAATGTTAGATATTTTGTTAATTTTATTCCTTTATTAATTATTAGAGTTATGCTCGTTAATTCACAACTTTGATTATTAATATCTCTTATTTAAAAAAAAAAATTACTAGATATTTCTCCTAGTGTCAAAATAACTATAAAAAGTCAAAGAATTATACTCCGTACATAAATAAAAGGAAAAATTTATGGGAATAATCCCACCTTTGGACCGTTCATTTTTAATAATCCCACCTTTGGGCCCCGATCTTTTTTAATGGTCCCATTTACTTGAAATCAGTTGAGTACGTATTTTTTTTTAAAGATTAATTTACACGTGTCGTTATATAATTGGTAAAAAAAAAACAAAAAAGTTAAAATTAAATTAAAGGATATTTTAAAAAAAAAAAAAATACACTTTCTCTCTCCTCTTCATTCCCCCCAGCCACCCCTTACCCCGACTTTCTCCTACCGTCATTCCCTACCCCTCGCGTCGACCACTAGCAACCCACCCCTCCGTTGCCAGCTTTCATTTCGAAAACCCACTCCGTCCGTGCTGACGGTCGGAATCCCACCCAGCCAACCCAACCCCAAAACCCCATTAACCCAAACCCAGCCAACCTCAAAACCATTCGAAAATCCACATCTAGATTGCTCGGATTTGGGAGGGGAAGGGGGTGGGGTTGTCTGATTTGGGAGGGGAAGGGGGTGGGTGGTCGGATTTGGGAGGGGAAGAGGGTGGGGTGGTTGGATTTCAGAAGGGAACGGTCAGATTTGGGAGGGAAAGGAAGTGGCTGGTCGGAAATGAGAAGGGAAGGGGCCACCGGAATCCATGGAAGGGAGGGAATGGAGGGTAGGCCAAGGAGGGGGGAAGTGGGTGGCTGGGGAAGGAGGAGGGTTAAGTTT